TGATTAATTACAGACAAAAATGATAAGGATGATGATGAAGAAAAAAACAAATCATTCTCTCTCTCTCTCTCTCTCTCTCTCTCTCTCTCTCTTGAGAAAAGATGCATGCATGAATGAAAAAAAAATCAACAAATTCATGAGAATTTATCGTTGAAGCCAGAAAAAACAGTAAACAGAAATCGATTTGTCATATTTTTTTGTTTCATTCATCTTCCAATCAATAATGATGATGGTAAGAATTTTCTTTCTCGTTATTCGTTTTCACACATCACTGGAAAAAAAAAGTTTTGGAGAAGAGAGAGAGAAACTGCGTGGATATTTATAATATATTTTCATTATCATTATTTTTGTGTTTTGTTTTGTTTTTTCGTTCGGCAATGATGAATTTTTAAATGCCAGAAAAAAAAATCTCAACGATAAACAACGGCTAATGGAAATCATTTTCAAATGTGGAATGATGGTTGATGGTTATGGAAAAGTAATGATAAAAAAACACAACTAATTCACATTCCTATAGCCATTCCATCTATAGTCATTTTTAAGCCATCCACCCACGCCTGCAATGTTTCTTTGGCTCCATGGTTAATGGATGTTCGCTGGTTAAAATATGAATTTCTTTTTTTCTTTTCTTTCTAAATGAATTTCATTTAAATTATGATAATGATGATTATGATTGAAAGCAGACTTGTGCAGTTTTTTCTTATGTTTGTGATTATGGATGATGATGAAATAACCCAAATGTTATGAATATTGATGATGATAATGATGATGAACTGAACGAAAACCAAAGAAAAAAATGAAAAATCATTTCACTATTTTTTTTATCATGACGGTCAAAATAGCTAATGAAAAGGAAAAATTTTGAAGAAAAAAAAATTTCTGGAATTGCGTTTTTGCAATTAAGTAAAACTTCTTTAAAAAAGCAGAATTTCTTTTTCGTTTTCTGTCTGAAAATGTTTACCATCTGCATCTTTATTATCTGAAGAAAGGGGAGAGACGAAACAGAATTTCATTTTTTTTCGAAATAACCAGAATTTCTTGATTATCATTATTCAAAAACGGCAATGAGTGTGCATAAATCATTTCATTGTTGAAATGAAATGAATAGAGAGAGAGAGAAAAAACCTGTTAGAAAAATGAAAATGAAAATTACAAATTTTCTATTAATAAATTATTTATAAAAAGTAGAATTTACAAAATAACTAACTAAGTAAGTAAATTAATTAATTATTGATTGATTGATTTTGTATTTAACCTTACCTTATTATTATTAGCAGGTGTACATTGTTGATAAATCTATTAATTTTTTTGTTTGATGGAAAATTGTCATCTTTATCGATCAATCGATTGATCGATCTCCACGTCGTTTGCTCGCCTGGTTTTTTTTTTCATCCACTCACTTTGCTCTACTCAACGAAAATAAATTATTCATTCATTTTTTTTGTTGTTTGAGAATTCAATAAAGACATTATCATTATCTTACCTTTTATTACGATTTTTCCTGGTTTCTTTCTTGAAGATCAATAATCATTTTGGAGAAATGAAATGAAAAAAAAACGAAAGAAGGAAAAGAAAACATTCGAATTTCGAATAACATTTATCACAATTGACAATTATATCGATATAATCGATAGTTTGTTTGGGTGATGGTCGTATTCAATATTGAGCGGAATCGAACGCAAAAAAAAATGATGATGATGATTATTATTGTTATTACTGTTATTGTTTGTGTTTGTAATCATCGTTATAATCATCATTATTATTATTATAATAATGATAGGGGATCAATAATAATAATTTTGTTGTTAAAAAAATGAATGAATGAATGGTTTGTTTTTATATTTTGTTTACGTTTACTTTGATAATGATTATTTTATTTCATATATGGAACGAAAATGTAGGGAAAATAAACGATCTGTATAGACAATATTTATACGATTTTTTGTTTTTGGTTTCGAATAAATTTTGTTTTGGCACCCGAGAATAAAACCAGAAAGAAAAAACCAGAAAAAAACAATCGTTGTTTGGATTCATTCCCAGTGCCCGGTTTTACCCGTCATATCATTATCAGGCGATGGGAAAGTAAAGTGCCAAAGAAAATATTTAGTTGGAAATCGAAATAAATCAACAAAGAAGAAGAAATGGAAAACAAAAAAGAAAAAGAAAAATGGCAACCTTTTTTCTTTCGATTGTTTTCGATGTGAAAAATGGAAACAACAACCAAAACAACAGAAAAACAGAAAACAAAATAAACAAATCAAAACGATAAACGAAAATGAACAGGAACGAATTTTATGATCATTCTTCTTCGTCGTCGTCGTCGTCGTCGACATCGTCATTCAGATCATTGAGATTCCAAACAAAACGAAAGCAAAGAAAGTGAATCAAGAATAAAACAAAAACAAAACAAAACAAGAATCATCAATAATCATCCAAGTTCATATCGTTTGTTTTACGAAGTAAACGGTACAGTACGGTGTTTATAAATGTCAGAAAATCTTTTTCTTCTTTTGACATCCCAAAGAAAAAGAAAAATCATTATGTTTATGTGTTGTGTGTGTGTGTGAAACACAGAATAACCGAAGAAACGAAAAAAAAAATATCTGCTGTTTCAACAAATAAAATATCGAATGCCGAAAATCGAATCGAATAGAAACAACAGCAACGACAACGACCAGAAAGTTTGTTTTGATTGGTTTCTTTTATATGAGAAAAAAAAACCGATCAAACATTTTTATTGATTTTTCGATTATTCTTGTAAAAAAACAAAAAATTTTGTAAATTTTTTTATTTATCACATTGATATGATGCAGAACCAGCCATCTGGTGGCGGGTGGCGGGTAAAATTTATAAATTTTTTTAGACATTATTTTTCTGTTTCTAATTGTTTACAAATACAATTTGAATCAGAATTACAAGAATTATTTGTTAAAACTTTTTCAATTTTACTTGTTTTACTTATACCTAAACGTGGCCTTCCCGTATTTAAACCTTCCAACAGTATACATGCTTTACAAATATTTTGACTGGATATATAACCACAACGTTTACAGATTCCTTTCGATTTTAGACGACTATTTTTGTTCGGTGGTTGTACAGAATCTGATCTACCGGATTTTCGTGAATCAAACGATTCACCCGATTTAATAATATCCAATATAACCGACGGTCGGATTTTTTCCATTTGTTTTAAATGTTCACGTACATAACCACGATATGCCATTGGTGAATATAAACATTCAGTACTAAAATATTTTAGCTGTTTAAAACGAGCATAAAGTACAATTTCTTTTTCATATGTATATTTAAATGGTTTTGCACGACGTATACACCAGCCATGATTTTCTATTTCATCAATATCATCGATATCGGTAACAATCCGTACGGAACGTCCTAATCGTGCAATATCACCACGTAGAATATTCATCAGGATTGTTTCGGCTAAATCATCAGCATTATGTCCGGTTACGATTGTATCACATTTCAATTGTAATGCACCACGATCTAATGCTTGTCGACGAAATACACCACAAAATGTACAATTATTTTTCAAACCAGTTGCCTGTACAATTTCATCCATTGTCCAACCATATAAATCTTGATAGCTTAAAATTTTTAATGGAATTTGATAATCATTTTGATTTTGTTTAACAGTATCCAATGAATCATCACGATAACCACGTATACCTTCATCAATTGATAAAAGAAATAAATCCAAACCATAATCATAACGATCATTTAATAATTTCATTATATATGCTAACACGGTGGAATCTAATACGGGGGGATAAACGATTGATTCATTAATTAACCCAAATTTTCAACCGAAAATTTTCATCAACAGTAACAAACCTTTTCCACCCGAAGCACCAATAGCTACTTTTTCACCACGTTGAAATAGTTTACCGTGGATAATTGTTTCATGAATTTCAGTTTCAAAACAATAGAAAAAACATTGTTTACATAATGAATCTGTCTGGAAAATGTTTTCAGAAAGAAAAATTTAGCTAAAATCATTTTTCTGAGTTAAATAAATAAACATCATACCGTTTTGGAACGTTTAACATTTGCTTTAGCCGTTTTACAACGGCTACAATTTATTAAACTCATTTTTTGGTTAAATTTTTATTTTAAAATTTCAATTTTTAATTAAAAAAATTTTCATCAACGTGTTTGGCATGTTTACATCGAGATTTTCCGTAAACTTTTCCTTGAGAAAAAAAACAAAATTGAATTTCCGTAAAGATTTTTTTTCAAATAAAAAAGATTTCAACATGAAAAAATCAATTTTAAAAAATGGAAATTTGGCCAAGGTTTTTCTTCGCGAAGCCATCACTTCTATCGTCATCATCATCATCAGGATCATCAATTAGCATAGCCAAATCAATTATTTCAATCTCATTTCGTTCGTTCAACAAGTAAAATGAAAAGAGAGAAAGAAAAATTCATTATTTAAATTTGAAATTTTTTTTTTTTTTTGTTTATACATTTTCGTTAAGAGAATTGACACATTTTGAATGAAGATTTTTATGTTTTTTTGTTTTTGAATTTCACAATTTTATAATAAATAATTGTAATTTGAGAAAACAAAACTTCTGTTTTAAAGAAAATATAAAGATTATGGCGAAATTTTGTGTTTAAAAAAAATTTGATTGGAGAAAATTTTATTCAAAGAAAAAAGATTGAAAAAATCCTGAAATTGATTCAAATGCTGGATTCTTTGCTTATTGGCCAACCGGTTCAACAGATTCCGAAGATCCCGATGATGATGATGGTGGTGGTGGATTTTCTTCAATCAATTGCATAATAGTTTTAAAATTTCTTTTTCTACCAGCCGTATTACCATACCATTGATATTGTTGTGGACATAATGATGAATGACAAACAGGCATATATCGGGTATCGGCACGTGAATAATTATCTTCACTTGCAGCAGAATTATCTTTATTTAGATAATGTTTCACAACGCATGTATGTGGTCGACTACAAGAATAAACAGTAGTGTTTGTTTCACATGGGAAACTTGATTCATTCGATGGTTTTGGATTACGTATCCAGGATAACATTTGCTGAAACGTAACAAACCAAACATCTTTTATCGATTGTATATGATCGAGAAAACGATTTAGGGCACGAATGTTTCGTCTGAAAAGTGGAGAAAGAAAGGGTTATTAATTTTTGTAATTTAAAAGTTTGTAATTACAAAAAAAAAATTTACTTTTGTGTAAACCATGTAACATGAAAATTCAATTGAAATGGTGCACGATTTGTATTATAATGTCTGTCGAAATTTTCTTTAAGAAAATCAACAATCGATTCAATATCATCATCATCCGATGCGGCTGGAAATACACATTGATCAGCATGATGACAAGTATTAAATTCATTGAATAATGGATTGATTGGTATTTCCCATAAACCAGGGAATGCTCTAGTTGGACATTTAAGTGCACGTCCTAAAAATGGTGTTTGACGTTTTGCACGTTTTGCACCTCCACCACGATTACTACCACGACCTGAACCAAAACCACCACCACGTCCATAACCTGAATCATCATCAGTTGGACCAAACCGTTGGCTTTCATCTTTTTTCGGTTGATTTGAACAATCAAATGGTTGTCTATAATCATATGTAAATGGCCAATATGGTGGTGTACCTCTCGGAGCGGCAATACTTGAATCATAAAGAAAACCAAAATCATGTGCCATTTCAAACATTGAATTACCGCCCGGACGAATGAATGGTGCACGCATACCGACAATATTTTCCCTGGTCAATACTGGTGTTGTTGTTGTACCACCAGCATTTGCGATCATAATTTCACGCATACCAATCATTTCTTCTGCCCATTCCGAATAATTTGCATGATCAGTCCACCATGTTTCTGGTTGTCGATGTCTGTTTTTTTTTCATTAGAAAATAAAAGTCATATGGTAAACAAAGGGTTAAATTAATACTTACGTAATTGAATGTACAGCCATTTCATGTCCTTGTGCAGCAAACCATTGTATTTGTGCATAATTTGAATATTCATGATTAATAAAAAATGTTGCCCGTATACCACAACCATTTGGATTTCTTCTTGATTGTTGTGAATTAAAACGATTACCATAACCTAGTACACGACGATAATGATCATAAACCAGGTCGTTTAGAGCACCGGAAAAACTAATCAAAACCATTTGTGGTGTTTGACTTGGTGGAATATTGGCCGGTATTAATGTACCATCATTTGTACAGAAACAATTTGGTAGATGACAATCATCCAATTGACATGATGGCAGTGCATCTTGACTTAATTCACGTTCTTCAGCACGAACTTCAGCTTCATCAATTGGGCCACAAGTCAGTTGTTCAGTTTTAAATGTACAATATTTCAATTTGGAATCAAAATACAATGATGGTGGACATGTTTGACTCCATGCACGCCAATTACCACAAAGATTAAATTTTCGACAATTATTCGGGTCGGCAAATAGACCATCAGATTTTGGACAGGTAAAATCTGCACCACCAGAATTCCCTTGTGAACCAGAATGATCATCATCATCTGGATCTGGATTCGATGTTAATGGTGGTGGTGAATTTATATTTGATGATGATTCAGGTTGTCCACGTGAAAATTGTCGATTTGATGATGATGATGATTGTGGTGATTGTGGTGATGATGATATTGAACCACGTGATCTTTGTCCATTTGTAATGGCTTCGTTTTAACAAAAAAACAACAAAAAAATTTGTAAATTTTAAACCGAAAAACTTAAAAATTTCAAATGAAAATTTACCAAAAATTGAAATGAAAATAAACAGGAAAAATATTTTAAAATTATCTGTAGACATTGTTGAGAAATTTTCTCGTAAAAAAAGCAACAAAATTTAAAATAAACGATCGATAGATTGTATGTTTTTTTCGGAAACTATTTTCTCATTTCATTTCCTAAACACTTTTTTGTCTTGATATCCACCCACACACACACACACGCAAACACAAACTTCCCGTTTGATGCTTTTCGTTGTTGTTGTTTTTTGTTTCAGGATTTTAACACGTTTTCATCGTAATTAATTTAACACGTAATACACATTGAAAGATTATTAATTGCTTTAAAAAAAAATTGGAAAAATCTTCTGAAAATTTCAATCAATCAATCGATCAATTTGATCATTTATGAAGAAGATCTAGGCTATAGCTTGGCTGGCTGATTGGTCAACAAAAGAACTACCACCAACTTTTCTTTCATCATCATGTTTTTCTCTTTCTAAATTGAGAGAAAGTTTTTCTTCTTTTATTTTTCTAATTTACCTGATCCAATTTACACACACACACACAGAGAGACAGACAGACAGCGAGACTTTATCCTAGATAATTTGGACCATCCATACTTACTTACTTATCATCTCATTTGTCTCTCTTTTTTGGAAAATTCTCATTTCAAGTTTCTTTCATTTAATCAAATTTTTTCTTCAATCCAGAGCACAAAAAAAACAACGAAAAAACTGGATCATCATTTCTCTCTCTCTTTCAATGTTTCGCTATTTTCTCTTGTTTGTTCATCATCGTTTTAATATTTGGACCGGTTTCAGATGATTTCTCAAGTAAAAAAGAAAACCTTAATCTTAAAGATCTGTGTGATATGATTATGTCAATCAAATCAGATCAATGTTGAACGAAATTTTAAAAATATTCAATTTTTTTCTCCAATTTTGAAAAAAATCAGAAAAATCAACGATTAAGCTTGACATTGATTTTCATGTCACCATGATGACATGAAAAAATTTTCTATTTATAACTCTTTCTTTCTGGAATTTTTTCGATTTAAAAAAAATAAATAATCTTTCGTTTCATTAACAACCTCGAATTTAAAAAGAAAAACCGGAAAATTATTTCCAATTAAAAAAAAATTATCAAAATTGTTAACTTTACGGTTCAATAGATGGCGTTACGTGGTGTATTTTTTTTTTCTTTTTAAAATGGTCATTATATAATGTATGGTGATATTTTAATCTCCAGAACAATCCATAAATGCACAATGATTACGTGATCAGAATATTCTTTTGTTTGCCAATTCTGTTCCTGTGTGTTTTTGATTTGTTTTTTTCCTGTCATCGTTGTTGTTGTTGTTGTTGTTAAATATCGATAATTTGATTGACAATTTGTGAACAACCAAAGAAAAACTGTAACTTTTATCCAGAGAAAAGAAAAAAAAGCATTCTTTGACCAAAAAATCACTGACAATCCATTCATAGTAATCGATCCATTTGGATCAAAATTCAATTGATCCAAATTCAAAATACGCATCCTCAAAAAAAANCACTCTCTCTCTCTCTCTCTCTCTCTCTCTCTCTCTCTCTCTCTCTCTAAAGCAATCTTTAAATTGAAATGAAATTGAGAGAAAGTTTTTCTTCTTTTTTCTCTAATTTACCTGATCCATTTACAAACCACAGACAGTGAGACTTTATCCTAGATAATTTGGACCATCCACACTTATTTACACTTGTCATCTCACTTGTCTCTCTTTCTTTGTGCTTTGTGCAAAAATTCTCATTTCAAGTTTCTTCATTCGAGTGTTTGATGATGAATTCAGATCGACAAAAAAATAACGAAAAACTGGATCATCTTTCTCTTTTCAATGTTTTCTTTTTCAATTTGGACCGGTTTCAAGATTTTCAGAAGTGAAAAATAAAGCAAAAAAAAAAAGAAAATCTTAATCTCAAAGATTTGTGTTATATGATTATGTCAATCAAATCAGATCAATGTTATTTTGAAAATTTTTATTCAATTTTTCTCCAATTCGAAAAAAAATCTGAAAAACAAAAATCAACGATTAAGCTTGACATTGATTTTCATGTCAACCATGGTGACATAAAAAAATTTTCTATTTTTAACTCTTTTTTTTCTGGAATTTTTTCGGATCTTAAAAAAAATTAATCTTTCGTTTCATTAACAACCTCGAATTCAAAAAGAAAAAAACCGGAAAATTATTTCCATTTCCAAAAAAAATTATCAAAATTGTTAACTTTACGGTTCAATAGATGGCGTTACGTGGTGCGATTTTTATTTTTTTAAAATTTTTGAAATGGCCATTATAATGTATGGTGATATTTTAATCTCCAGAATCACCAGAATAATCCATAAATACAATGATTACGTGATCAGAATATTCTTTCGTTTGCCAATTCTATTCCTGTGTTTTGATTTGTTTTTTCCTGTCATCGTTGTTGTTGTTAAATATCGATAATTTGATTGACAATTTGTGAACAACCAAAGAAAAACTGTAACTTTTATCCAGAGAAAAGAAAAAAAAGCATTCTTTGACCAAAAAATCACTGACAATCCATTCATAGTAATCGATCCATTTGGATCAAAATTCAATTGATCCAAATTCAAAATACGCATCCTCAAAAAAAATCAATCACCACCACCACATAGTAGATTCTTACGCTGCTAGCATAATCATCTTCTGTAGTAGTGGTAGCGGATTCAAATGTTTTTTTTTTATTCGAATGTTTTTCTTGTTTTCGAATTTCATTCATTCATTCATCATTCAACCACAAGAACAGACAACATCAACAACAACCAGAAACAGACCAACCAGAAACAGACGGATTTATTCCCGGTTCAAATCTCATTACCGACGAAAAAAAAACTTCAAAATCTAATTCAATTTTGTGTGAATCAAATTAATTAATCATTTTGTTTCAAACGAAGGAAACAAAAGCAAAAAAAAAATTTTTTT